TTGAATTCTGGGGAAAAATTTCCTCATTTAATGCTTTTTTTTTTTTTTTTTTTTTTTTTTTTTTTTTTTTTTTTGAGGGGTGGGGGCTAAGGACTGAGGAGGGAAAGCTGAAGTCCAAAACTGACAGCATGAGCGGGGATTAGACCTTGCTGTTCCTCCCACCTTTTTCTCTCTGTTGGTGTGCCTCCATGCTAATTTAGACCTGTGGCAACCATCAAAGCCTTGTGCATACCTTCTGCACAAAGGGGCCTGTCTCCCACGTGAGGGCGTTCTCTGCTGGGACAGAGTCAGTTTGTCCCCCAAAAGAAAAATCTTAAGCACCCAATTGCCTGCTTGACTGACTCCCTGACTGCTATTATGTTTCTAACCACGGTAATTTGCTTTAGTAGTTATTAATGGATTATGTTGGGGAAGGGAGGGACAGAATCCAACACCTAGCTTTGTAGCTGAGGTACTCCCTGACCAAAGTGCTGCTTTCCAGACATGGGGTTTGACTGGTGAGCTGTCAGAGTGGGTATCTTTTGATTGTTTTCCTCTGAGATGGGAGACGTTGGCAAAAGGGAAATGTTCCTTCTTGTCCTGCACTATGGTGGAAAGAAGGTAGATAATGAGCAGAAACCCGGTTTCCAAATATGAAATGCTGCACGCTTTCTTAATTGGTCCTTGTGGCTGCTGTACAGCAACAGGAATTGGCTTTTCCTTAGACTCTCAGACTTTGGTCAGGGACTTCCATGGAGAAGAACAATGTGCGCACCCTGCAGCATCTGTGCAGAGAGCCCTGTGCCAGAGGTACATTGGGCCAATTGCATGTGCACTGCCAATGAACATGGGATTTTGCATGTAAGACAGCCTGGTTGGAGAGACTTTGAAATAGCTCTGGTGCTGCAGGCCTTGTCTAGCCCTAAAGTGCAGCTAAGGGTCACAGGACTTGTGGACATGTCCAGGTATGTGAGTTTGGTTAGGAGGGATAAAGCCAGCAAAACAAGAGGGCTTTGGTAGCTGTAGCTCTTCCTTGGTTCCTGTAGTTCTTTGAGATGGCTTGATGTTATCTGCTTGCCTCCTTTGCAGAGTGTATTGGCAGTGCTGCTTTGGCCTTATGATTTGGAGAAACCAATTGCCCAGCTAAACTACAGAGCTAGGAGTAGGAGGAGTCCTGAGTTCTGGCCCTGCTTCCACATGGCTCTTCTCTGGCTTTGATTGAGTTGAGTCCGTGTTCACCACTTTGCTGCTGAGTGCTTTGTAACACCAGCAGTAGTGCTTCTCGCAGGAGTCAAGGATGCTGCAAGAATCCCTTCCTGGTACAGTAGAGGCTTGGAGACACCTTCTGACTTCCAAAGGAAGAATGTTGTAGAGGATCAAACAAATGTTTAAAGCCTGCTATTTTTGCAGACATGACATTGTTTCCTTATTTTGCTTTCCTCTTTCAGCTGCCAGCCCTGTGTCATGCTGCAAAAGATGTTTAGGCAAAGCATAGAGCCAGCTTTTATTTAAAGCAGGCTCCGTTTCCTGCATTCGTGCTATCCTTGTTGCAATGACTTAAACATAGTTTTGGCATTTTATTCTCGGTAGCTGCGATAAATGTGGCTTTGTGAGAGGTCATTTATAGCTTACTTAAGAATCTTTGTATGAGCTGCTTTCTCTTATTTGGACTGAGGATAGGAAATTGGCACAAAACAAGCAGTGTGGTATGGAGAGGCACAGCACCCATGTTCCTGCTGCTTGATTTTAAGGATTTGTTCCTGTCTTATCAACTAGTTTGAGGTCAGTGGCTGTCAGGCGACCTCTGGAGCCAGCATGTGCAGCAGGGACGTAGCATCGCCAAAGAGGACTTTGGAATGGACCCTGCTGGAGAGTGTGAACTGAGCCAAATAGTGCTGCAGGAGAGTTGTGCTGCCTCTAATAAAGAGTGCTTGAGCACTGGGGAGGGCAACCTGATCCAGCTTTGAAATTGGCCCTGCTTTGAGCAGGCTGGACCGGAGACTTCTATTCTGCGATTTGTTAGGCCTGTGATGCTGCAGCCAATTCATGATTGTGCTCAGAAGTTGCCAGCACACAGAAGCAAGACATGAAGTAGGAAGTAACAGGGAATTTTCCATGGGGTCTTTCTGCAGCTTACAGCGCTGACTGTAGATGAAATGTGCTGAGTACTGTGCTGTTTTGAAAATGTTGTTGCAATTTACAGGTGTTCCTGTTTTAGGTTTTCCCTTTGCAGATGCAAATACGTTTTTCTGTCCTGCCAATTCTCTGCAGTTGCGACCTGCTGCATCTGGGAAGCTCAGCTACTGAGAGCTCTGGAGTACCTCTCCCTTTGCTGCTGCCTGCCCCTTGTGAAATGTGGTAGAACATACTGAAATAGTCTTGAACCAGAATACAAAGTCTGTCTTGTAGCCTGTTTTCTGTCTTGCAGCCTGTTTTCTGTCTTGCTCATGCACTGTTTCTTCAGAACATGAGGGTTAGTAAGTGTCTCTTTTGTTTGCTTGTTTTTTTTAAACAGCTCATTTGTGACGGGGACAGCCTGCTGTGGACACACCTCACCTCTGAGAATCTGGGACCTTGAGAGGTGAGTGAGCTTCCAGGTTACAGGAAGGGACTTGATGAGAAAAGTGAATAACAATGAGAAATGCAATATTGGAGATGCTGTAAAATCATTCCTTTAGTCCGTATAGGCAAGGGATGTTTAAACATGAGATGCAGGATGGAGTGGGGGATGGAACAAACTGGTGTGGGAAGGTGTATGTGGGGGGTGGTTCTGGTTCAGTAGGGAGCAGCTCGACTTTTCTTCCCAGCTTTTCTAGTTGATGGCACAGCCATCCTGGTTTCTTGCCATTACCCATGGACAGTCAGAATATGTCCATTACACCTTCCTTTTCATCTGTCTCAGTTGATGCTTCAGCCTGAGTCAGAGGGGTGAGGAAGGTGATCTGCATCCTCCCATTCACCCTCTTGTCCGTGGTGCTCAGAAGCCAGAGGCAAACGCAGGCTCTACAGTCATCTTGTCCTGGCTGCTGTTTCTGGTAGCTCAGGGAGGTGAGGGGTGGTAACAGGTTATCTACAGAAGTGACTTAGGCATGTTGTCTTCTCTCTCTCTTAATAAGCATTGAGGAGGTTAATTGCTGTGGCCTCTGATTTGGGGCCATTGAGTGGTTCCTGTTCGGTGAAGGTTCTGACCTTAGCAACTGGGGAAACGTTAGGCTCAAATCCTGACGTGAGATTCAACTGCTGACAAATTTGAAACTCTCAGCCTGGGGGTCTTTATGTAGTGATGGACAGATAGCAAATATTTGGCAGGATTATTGAATGGCAGCTCAGCTTTCCAGGACTGGTATGCTCTGGGTAGGAGTGGCACAGCCCAGATTATCAAGGGAGTGCCGTCAGGATTGAGGTGAGCTGGTGGGCTCTGGGCATGGAGAGAGGGGGGGCAATGGCAGAAGGGGCCTGAGGGGTGTCAGCAGAGCTGTACTTGGGGAAAGGACATAGAGGAGGGTTGGTATGGATGCAGGGCTGGTCTGAGGCCAATTGCCTTCTAATCTATAGTTTAGATTGTCTGAGTCAACTCCATCAAATACAAATATAAACCAGTTTGTTTTTCTCTGAAGTAACAAAAATGAAGACTTTGCAAAGGATGCATTGCACAAAGGACAAACTAGAGCAGGAAAGACAGCACCAGTGCATTCAGCTTGGTGACCTAGTCCAATGGTGCCTTTGGAGTACCCCAGAAGGATGCAGGCTGTGCTGTGATACCCCTGCCCATCAAGTTGTCTGGCTGTTCTTGGATAGAGGCATCTGACAGGGGTGAGGAGATAGGCAAGCCTCTCCCCCCTGCCCCAGCCTCTCTGACAGCCTTTCCCAAGGAAGCCTGAAGAGATAATAAAGCTGTGTAGAAAATAGGATTAAGGTAATGAACAGGCACAACGGAGTTTGATCTTTCAATAACATCAAAGCCTGAGTGACAGGCAAATAAAAAAGCCAAAGCAACCTAGGCCGCTGGGCCTCTGTTGCGATGGCTGGAGTGTCAGACTTATTCTTCCCTCTTCACCTGTCACAGCTGGAATGCACCATGCCACTGGGTCTTTTCCTCTCTGGGGACCTGTGTGTGAGCTGGGAGTCTTGTCAGCACGTGCAGGGCAGGAGACTGAGTAGGGAGCACGGCTGGGAAACTAGCCTGTGAAGCTTGATGTGATCATTCATAGTGAGGGGAGTACAGAGCTGTCCTTCCAGGTCTTGACTTCTCCATAAACTGCTCTTCTTCCCAGCAGAGCTTTGGATTCATTTTCAAAGGCTCCAGTGGCTGCCAGAAGCGATCTCGTAGGGAAATGCCATTTCTTCCTTTGAGGCTTGTGCATGTTGTCTCCCTGGTCAGACTCCAGAATTGGGAGTGTGGCATGGAAACTCAAAATCTTAGAGCTATCCAGGAGTGAAAAGCTCCTCCTGTGCCCAGCGTGTTTTGATAACACCTGGCAGACAGAGCCAGGCCACCCCGAGTTTGCTGCTTACCCCTTTCTTGTGGCCACAAAGGACCAGAGTCTGACCCGTAGAGGCTGAAGGTGGCAAGGACATTATCTCTAAGAGCAGACTCCAGGGACCTTCTCTGCCAAAAAAATTAGGCAGGGTAGTGATGCTTAAGTGGTGTTCTTTGAAACTACAGGATCCTTAGCACCACTTAGATGTTTAGTGCTGTCCAAGACCAGCTAGTTCAGTTAGCTGGGGTTTTTTTTGTGTGTAAGTAACATTGCAGCAGTTTCTGTGGCATTCTCTTCCCTTGGAGTAGGTGGTCTTTTTCCCCAACAGCTGAGAGCTAGAACATGCTACAAAAGGATTTAAAGCTTAAATAACCTTTTGTGTACTGATCTTCTTAGTTCCAGGCCAGATAAGTCCTTGGCTGTTGCTTGTAGCTGTTGGTCATGGTATGTTTTCATATTTATGATCTTCACTGTTCCCTGACCCTGGGGCAGCCATTCTCATCCCTCCAAGAGGAAGGGGATAATGTCTTCACCTGGAAATATGTTCTGGGCTTTGAAAAGGGCTTGGTTGGGTTTGGTGGTGAGGAAATTTTTAGTGGGGAAAGGAAACGCCTCTTGCTGCATCCCACCCCCACCGCTGTCTTTCATTTCTGACTCTGCTGAGATGATGGTGTTGGATCAAAGCCGCAACAGGCAGCAACAAGCAATTGTCAAGGGGAGTCTAAAGCACGGGAATGACCGCGTAATGCCAAGACACTGTCTCTGATGGCTGAAATTCCAGCTGCTGCTACACCTGGCCCTTTCTCCTTTAATGAACAAGGATTTTTTTTTTTCTTATGCTTTTGAAGCTGGCTAGTTGCACCTCTGGAGGACATATCTCATCCCACAGATGCTACGTCGTGCCATCTAATTGCTTTTAGATGTGGGGAAGTTGCTGTGCACTTATTGCCATTCAGGATCAAGGTGTGTGTGTGTGGAGGGGGGCTGTGAATAACTTAGATGATTAGAGGTCTGCACAGGAAAGCAGGAGCAGTATGGGCCGCTGGATACTAACCTGTGTCCTCGTGTCAAGTATCAGGCCTTGCTGACTCCTTGGCCTCTTGCAAGTCCCCTTGTCCCTCTGTGCCAGTGAGGGATATGATGGCAGCTGCCCCTCTTGCAGGTCAGGCACCTCTGCTCCCTTTTTCCTGTCTCGTTTGCCAGTGCTGGTGTGCGGCTCAGCAGAACAGCCAGTTAATGGCAAGCAAGAGAAAAGGAAACTTTCTTCAGATCCTGTTCCTCTTTCTTTCTCTTCCTACCTCCTTATCTCCTTTGGGAGTTTAAACTCCTTGGGAGACAAGGGTGACGTGCCACAGGGAACAGCTCCAAGGCCAGCGTTTGTCGTTTGCCAGTGGAGAACTGTTGCTCCCCGGCCTGTCGTGGTGGTCTGCGTGTCTTTAGGTGACAAGTGCCCCTGCCTCAAGGATGCTTCTCCATAAGGTAGGCTGCTCCAGAGGTTGCTTTGCAGCAACTCTTGGAGCTATTCTGCCAAGCCCAATGTTTGCAATGGACCGGTGATCTGTCTGGCATGGTAGTCCTCATGCTGTAAACACTTTGAATGCACAAGTCCTACATTGTCCTTTCCTGTGACACAACATGACAGATGCAGGGCACGAGAGCTGTTGTGAAAACTGAGCCAAAGTTAGCTGTGCCCTGCAAGCCACCCCAGATCCTCTACCTTTTAAATATCCAGTCTTTGTCCATCTCCTCCCCCCTTTTGAAAGCATTTTTGGCAGAGTGGTTTTTTTGTTTTTTGTTTTTTTTAAGAACCCTCTAATTTCTTGTTCGGTTTTTCTCCCTCTCCTGAGCCCTTTGAAAGTGGCTTTACGCCGTCACTGACACCAAACTGACACTTTGCGTTTCCCCACTTCTTATCCCTTTATGGCAACAGATGTTGAAATTTTGTATCCCTTTTATCTGTCCCTCTTTGCCCTCTTCCTGTAATTAGGTTTCCCTTGTTAGCAGTACAAAGTGGCCCGGTTTGCTGCCTGGCCTTTTGAGCCATTGTGTCTGAGCACATTTTTTTCCTCCTCTTTCGGAAGAGTTCCTTCCCCCTTAAGTAATAGGCAGGGTGTGGGCCAAAGCTGTGGCTCTTTCTTGTTTCTTTGTTCTCCATTTATCTCTGCCACCTTTTTCAAAGGGATGGGGAAAAAAAAAATAGAGAGTGCATGGAAGGGGAAGATACAGAGTTGCATTTCTTGACCGTCAGGCCCCCCTGCTCTTCAGGTGTTCAAGGCAGGTGCCTTTGATGTCTGCAAGTTTTGGGGAGGTGGGAGGTAGAGGATTCACGAGAGTGGCTTGGGAGTGGAGGAGAAGGGAGATTCAGGTGTGTGGCTGGTGTCCTCAGCAGAGGGGTGGGGAGGAGTCTTTCAGGGTAGCCAGGCAGCTGCTGAGCAGGTTAGTAATCCGTATTTGCCTCTAGTGCTATGGCATTGTGCTCTTTCTCTCCGAGAGCCGGTGTGAGCATTACCATCTTAAGCAGCTGGCTGAAGTTTGCTAACTTGCTGCTGCTTGGTCTCTGGTATGTGCTTCCATGGGACCCTTGCTAGGTTACATCTGTCTGTGCAGTGGGGTGGGCAGGAATTAGTTCCTGTCTTTCAAATTTTGGTGTATGTTGATCTGCATCCGCTTTGGTGGCTCTTTAGAGCCATTGAGTGAGTGAACATCAGCAATTGTCAACAAGGAGGGAGAGCTTTACAACTTGGGCTCCCTGTGCTGTTCTTAAACAGCAAGTGTAATTTGACAGTTGCAGTATATACCACTGAACACCCTGGTTAGCTGATCGCTACTGATGCTTTCCTGTTTAAATCCCATCCTTCTTGGCTTTGTGTCCTGTTGTGCTCAGATTTTTTTGTGTGGAAGTAGATAAATGAAATGAGAATCTGCAGGTCTAGTTCTTGGTTATAAAGCTCGCTAAGTGTTTTCAACAAAAACTTTTAATGTAGAAGTTTGGCCCAAGAAGCACAAGCAGACTTCTTAGCGTTGTGTTTTAAAACAAGTTGTTCTCCACGTTCTCTCCACAGCTTTGAACTCTAAGGTTTAAACAAGTTTGAGACCCTCT